CTGAACATGTACATATTGTTTTCTAGGTGAAAATGGCCTTTGAATCTTAGGTTTTTACCACTGAATAAGATAGTGGACTAGGAAGAATTTGGAATATCTCATACCCAGGTCTAGGGATCATGTTATTAGAGGAAGGTATAGATGAATAAATAATAGGCAGTAAAGCTGTATAACTCTTGATTGGGACATATTTTTGACAAGGAAACTTTTCAAATGGTAATTTGAAATTTCAGGAGATAAAAATGGATAAAAGTAGAGCGTGATAAGGTCCCAGAGTCCTGCCTGTTTGGAGCCTTCTGAAAGTATTTTCACAGAATCTTCAGGCTTTTAAACATTATAAACTCATAATCTGTATTAATACACTGTAGATTTTAAAACTTGAACTTTTAATATTAACATATGCTGTATTAGAGTTTATTGACCCATAACAGTATGTGCTTTTTATTAGTTATGTCTGTAATTGTGACTTTAGGATTGTTGAATGGTTTTAGGACCAAGGGTTCTCATCTATTCATCAAATATTTGTTGAGCATTCATTGTGTATCAGGCCCTCGGGGTTCTGGAGATTCAGTACAAAAGGAAAACAAAATTCCTTTGCTTTCAGGTAATTTTGTCACTACATAAATTGTGGAAATTTTTTATAGGTTCTTTTATTCACATGACTGTAGTCTTACCTAAGACTAGTTTATAGGAATGATGACTTAGATTCCTTTAAATCCAAATACTGTGTGCTTTTGTGGTAGGTATCTTGGTTTAAAGGTAAAATATGGAATGTGATTATTGCCTTGTTGAGTTACTTAGTTGTCATACATATGCTCAAATGTCAGTTTTTTTTCTTACCACATTATTGATGAATTTGCCATTCTTAATAAGCAGTTAGAAAAGTAACATTTGAATTACCATATTCTTTTAGTATACAGGGTCTTTATATGAATTCTTAAACTACTAAAAAAGTTTGCATTATATTGTGAAATGTATATGATAATTTAAGTTTATGTCTTTTTTGAGTGTTTGTTTATATAAAGGTTATTTATTTTGACAAGACAATGGATAAGATGAAAAGGCCCGGCCCCTTCAGTGTAATTATGTCTTAGAAATAGATTTTTTAAAAAGTCTTTATATTGCCAGATATTCTGAATATACTATATTGGGGTTATATGTTCATTTTCTTTTTGTTTGGGTTTTTTTTTTAACTGTATTTTTTTTGTCTTTTCTTTTTTGGTACTGGGGATCGAACCCAGGACGTTGCGCTTGCTAGGCAAGCGCTTTGCCACTGAGCTACACTCCAGCCCTATGTTCATTTTCTTAAAATAAAAATTTTATTCTGGCTGAACACATGATTATAGATCAGAGTTTGTCTTCATTATGATGCCTTCGTTTTTTAATATACTTTTTGTTTTAATATTAAGGATTTATGTTTTATTGAGAACCATTATATATGGCACTGCTCTGTAGGCTCTTAGATATAGAATAAATATAGATATGTGTCTTTCTGGCCCTTTTATTAAATCTACAGTGGAGTGAGGAGAGAGCGAGAGCTGATGAAGAATAATAAATAAGTTGTGTAGTATCTTTGGAGGTATGGGGGAAAGTAAGTACAAAGGCAAGAACATGCTTAGCATGTGTTCCTCAGTGTGACAGTGGGGAAAATGGTATTAGACTAGACAAGAAAAGACTGGAAAGGGCAGACCTTGTAGTAGTAGGTCCTTGAAAAGACTTATCTTTTACTTTAAGAACACTGGAAAGTTGGGCTGGGAAGGTGGCTCAGTGGTAGAGCACTTGCCTTGCATGCATGAGGCCCTGGGTTCGATTCCTTAGCACCACATAAGCAAAAAGAAAAAAAAGCTGGAAGTGGCGCTGTGGCTCAAGTGGTAGAGCGCTAGCCTTGAGCTGAAGAGCTGAGGGACAGTGCCCAGGCTCAAAGTTCAGGCCCCACGACCGGACCCCCCCCCCAAAAAAAAAAAGAACACTGGAAAGTTTAGGATGGAAGGTTCTACTTTCTGCTTTAAAAAGAGCATTTGACTGCCCTGATTTGAATGAAGGAGAAGAGAGCAGGATGAAGCAGGAAAATTACAAAGCTTTCAGAGTAATTTTGAATCATACCTGATGATATATAGGATCAGGTATCACAGTAAAAGTAGGACATTACAAAGGTTAGAAAATTAGTTTTGTTGTTTTTTTTAAAGATAAGAATAGGAATTTCCTGACATAACATGATAACTTAAAAGCAAGAATTTTTAAAAAAATTATACTCTTTGTTAATAAATGCAACAATGTTTTGTGAAGGCACATTTTATTATTAAATTTTTATATTTTAAATTATAAATAAGATTCAGCAAAGACTTCTAGTACAAGAATGCAATATAACCTGTTGCAACAATGAGAAGTACAAGTTGTCATGTCCAAAACGACCTTTACGGCGTCGGTGCGGGGGGGGGGGGGGGAGGGGGAGGAAGGAGAAGGATTGGGATTGAGGGGGAGGCTGGGAAGGGATGTGAAGGGTAAACAAAGGAGGAGGCTGCAATGCTTGGTAAGAAATTTACGCATTATCCTGCCCATGTAATTGTAACCCCTCTGTACAGTATGTTCACAAATAAAATAAAATTAAAAAAAAAGAATGCAATATATAATGAATGATTAGGTCAGAATAATTGGCACATCTATCTCTTCAAGCATTTTTTGTGTTGGGAACATACAAAGTTAATTTGAAGTATTGTGGTTGTCTTTCTGTACTATAGAATATTAGAAGCTACTATCTAGCTTCATCCTTATAGACACCACCCTATCTAATTTTTCTTTCTCCATATGCTCTCCAGGCACTGGTAACTAGTATTCTGTCTCTAAAAACATTTAAGTTTATATTGTAAATTACTAAAAATCTATTTTTTTATTTTTCTGGATTCTTTGTGTAATTTTTTTAATTTTAAAAAGCTGCCTTGTGAGATACAATATTTGAATAATCTAGTAAACTACCTTAGAAAACAGTTATTTTCATAAACTAATTTCAGTTGGTGGATATAAATTACTACCCAGTTAATGTATTATGCTTACTTTTCTGCAAACATAGTGTAGTGTAATTGTTCTTTTGCATATTTTGGGTAAAAGATGTTAAACTTGGTGCTAGATACAGTATTCAGACTAAAATTTTTTAAAATTTTAATAGAATTGGTTGAGGCTGCCTCAGTTTCCTTTATCTTTTATCGTATTTATATTGTCAGATTGTACATTTTAATTACATCCTTTTCATAAGTTTTACGCAGCTTCCCATAGTTCCAAGAACCAAATTAAGAAATGGAACCAGCATTTATTACATCCCTTTTATTTGCTAGGTACTTCACATTTTAAATAATTGTTTAGTTTGTGAAAATAAGTAAATACCCTTGTTTTACAGATAAGAGAACCATGTTTTAGGTTTTAGGGCTTTGCCATCACCACCAAATAGTAAATAATAAATTTTGAAACCAGTTTACTAATGCTACACCTAGTGCTTGGTGCCGTGGTACATACATGTAATCCTAGCTTCTTTGGTGTTAGAGATTAGTAGGATTGTGGTTTGAAGTCAGCCTAGGCAAAAAGGGAGGCCTCCAACCTCAACCAACATTGTGTGAATCAAGAGAATTTAAAAACAACTTTATAGTAATTCTAATCTGTCTTGAATCTAAAAAAAATTGAAGTATAGTTGTGTGTGAGTGTGGGTATGTATTTGTGCCAGTGCCAGTTCTGGGCCTTGAATTCAAGGTTGGGGCTCTGACCCTGAGATTTTGCTCTAGGCTAGTGCTCTATTCTTTGAGCCATAACCATGTTCAGCTTCTTTGGTAGTTTATTGAGATAAGAGTCTCTGACTTTCCTGCCCTGTCTAGCTTTAAACTGAGATCCTTAGATTTCAGCCTCCAGAGTAGCTAGGATTACTGGCATGAGCATGGATTTTTTTTTTAAGTCCATGTATTGTGTTGTACACTTGGCCTTATAGATAGGAAATAAAAATCAGTCTTTTAGTTTGAGATCTACTGACCTATTTAATAGCTGTCATTGTATCATTCTGTGTCTCCTCCTCTTTCTCTTTTTTTTTTTTTTTCTGATGTTAGAAATCAAGCCCAGGAAATTGTGCATGCTAAACTTGTACTCTACTATTGAGCCATATCTACAGACCTTACCCAATTTTTCTGTTTCCTGTTAAAGTATTTGCATATCCTTAATAGAATTAGGTAGAAAATTTGATCGATTTTACAGAAATGTTGAAACTTACTGAAAAGTTTTTCTTTTAATTCTAGAAGTTTGTTAAATTTATACAGAATTCTGCTTTAGGGAGTAAGTTTTAAGGAATTCAGAAAGCAGGTAGTACTTCATTTTTAAATGGAATACAGGTTGGTGATAAAGTGCTTAATACGCATAAGACTTGGGTTTTAGTCCTTGGCATGGTTAAGCAAAATTGAGTGAAATTTGTAAAGGAATTGTTAAAATAACCAGTACATTTTAGCTATCAGCATAGCCTCATAGAAGGCAGTAATATTAAGAGTGGGAAGAAATTAGTTGTTTGTCAACCCCATTAGAAGGAGCAGAGCTAAAATTCACATTTGATTACTATGAGTTCATTTTAAAGTTTGTGGTCCATTACATTAAAGTTTTGTAGATTTCCCTTAAATTTTGAGGTTATTTTCATTTTATGAGTAAATTAAAACATTTCTTAAGATACATTGACATTAGAATTAGTAATTTTTTTTGGGGGGGGTCCGGTTGTGGGGCCTGAACTCTGGGCCTGGGCGCTATCCCTTAGCTCTTCAGCTCAAGGCTAGCGCTCTACCACTTGAGTCACAGAGCCACTTCTGGCTTCTTTTTTTTTTGCTTATGTGGTGCTGAGGACTCAAACCCAGGGCCTCAGCCATGCAAGGCAAGCGCTCTACCACTGAGCCACCTTCCCAGCCCCTAGAATTATTACTTTTGCATGAGCATTTGTTATATGTAATTCCTGGTTAAAATTTGTCTTTTTTCCATCTTTCTAGGGAGATGATCCATCTGATTTTGAAGACCTTTCTGAGGAAATGAGGGAAATATGAAGAACCAAATATAATTTTGAAATTCAGGATCTGTATTTTGAGATGACTTTATTTTCAGAATGAAAAGCATATGTGGTTACCTTTATGAATGTAGAGACATGAGAAGAAAGTTATGATGGCAAAAAACAAAGAGCCTCGTCCCCCATCCTATACTATCAGTGTAGTTGGACTCTCTGGAACTGAAAAAGACAAAGGTAACTGTGGAGTTGGAAAGTCTTGTTTGTGCAATAGATTTGTACGCTCAAAAGCAGATGAATATTATCCAGAGCATACTTCTGTGCTTAGCACCATTGACTTTGGAGGAAGGGTAGTAAACAATGATCACTTTTTATATTGGGGTGACATAATACAAAGTGGTGAAGATGGAGTAGAATGCAAAATTCATGTCATTGAACAGACAGAGTTCATTGATGACCAGACTTTCTTGCCTCATCGGAGTACAAATTTGCAACCATATATAAAACGTGCAGCTGCCACTAAATTACAGTCAGCAGAAAAACTGATGTATATTTGCACTGATCAGCTTGGCTTGGAGCAAGACTTTGAGCAGAAGCAAATGCCAGAAGGGAAGCTCAATGTAGATGGATTTTTATTGTGCATTGATGTAAGTCAAGGATGTAATAGGAAATTTGATGATCAACTTAAATTTGTCAATAACCTTTTTGTCCAGCTATCAAAATCAAAAAAACCTGTAATAATAGCAGCAACTAAATGTGATGAATGTGTGGATCATTATCTTAGAGAAGTTCAAGCATTTGCTTCAAACAAAAAGAACCTTCTTGTAGTGGAAACATCAGCACGATTTAATGTCAACATTGAGACATGTTTCATTGCACTGGTACAAATGTTGGATAAAACTCGTGGCAAACCTAAAATTATTCCCTATCTGGATGCTTATAAAACACAGAGACAACTTGTTGTCACAGCAACAGATAAGTTTGAAAAACTTGTGCAGACGGTGAGAGACTATCATGCAACTTGGAAAACTGTTAGTAATAAATTAAAAAATCATCCTGATTATGAAGAATACATCAACTTAGAGGGAACAAGAAAGGCCAGAAATACGTTCTCAAAACATATAGAGCAACTTAAACAGGAACATATAAGAAAAAGAAGAGAAGAATATATAAATACCTTACCAAGAGCTTTTAATACTCTGTTGCCAAACTTGGAGGAGATAGAACATTTGAATTGGTCAGAAGCTTTGAAATTAATGGAGAAAAGAGCAGATTTCCAGTTATGTTTTGTGGTGCTAGAAAAAACACCTTGGGATGAAACTGACCATATAGACAAAATTAATGATAGACGAATCCCATTTGACCTCTTGGGCACTTTAGAAGCTGAAAAGGTCTATCAGAACCATGTACAACATCTAATATCAGAGAAAAGGCGAATTGAAATGAAGGAAAAATTTAAGAAGACTTTGGAAAAAATTCAGTTCATTTCACCTGGGCAGCCATGGGAGGAAGTTATGTGCTTTGTTATGGAGGATGAAGCCTTCAAATACATCACTGAGGCTGACAGCAAAGAGGTGTATGGTAGGCATCAGCGAGAGATAGTTGAAAAAGCCAAAGAAGAGTTCCAGGAAATGCTTTTTGAGCATTCTGAACTTTTTTATGATTTAGACCTTAATGCAACACCAAGTTCAGATAAAATGAGTGAAATTCATACAGTTCTGAGTGAAGAACCTAGGTACAAAGCTTTACAGAAACTTGCACCTGATAGAGAATCGCTTCTCCTTAAACACATAGGATTTGTTTATCATCCCACTAAAGAAACATGCCTTAGTGGCCAAAATTGTACAGACATTAAAGTGGAGCACTTACTTGCCAGTAGTCTCTTACAGTTGGATCATGGACGCTTACGCTTATATCATGATAGTACCAATATAGATAAAGTTAACCTTTTCATTTTAGGGAAAGATGGTCTTGCCCAAGAACTAGCAAATGAGATAAGGACGCAATCCACTGATGATGAATATGCCTTAGATGGAAAAATTTATGAACTTGATCTTCGGCCAGTTGATGCCAAATCGCCTTACATTTTGAGTCAATTATGGACTGCCGCCTTTAAACCACATGGGTGCTTCTGTGTATTTAATTCCATTGAGTCATTGAGTTTGATTGGGGAATTTATTGGAAAAGTGAGAACTGAAGCTTCTCAGATCAGAAAAGATACATATATGGCTAATCTTCCATTTACATTAATTTTGGCTAATCAGCGAGATTCCATTAGTAAGAATCTACCCATTCTCAGGCACCAAGGACAGCAGTTGGCAAACAAGTTACAGTGTCCTTTTGTAGATGTACCTGCTGGTACATATCCTCGTAAATTTAATGAATCCCAAATAAAGCAAGCTCTAAGAGGAGTCTTGGAATCAGTTAAACACAATTTAGATGTGGTAAGCCCAGTTCCTACCAATAAAGATGTATCAGAAGCTGACTTGAGAATTGTCATGTGTGCCATGTGTGGTGATCCATTTAGTGTAGATCTTATTTTATCACCCTTCCTTGATTCTCATTCTTGTAGTGCTGCTCAAGCTGGTCAGAATAATTCCCTAATGCTTGACAAAATCATCGGTGAAAAAAGAAGGCGGATACAGATCACAATATTATCGTACCACTCCTCAATTGGAGTAAGGAAAGATGAACTGGTTCATGGGTATATATTAGTTTACTCTGCAAAACGGAAAGCATCAATGGGAATGCTTAGAGCATTTCTGTCAGAAGTTCAGGACACCATTCCTGTACAACTGGTGGCAGTTACTGACAGCCAAGCAGATTTTTTTGAAAATGAGGCTATCAAAGAATTAATGACTGAAGGAGAACATATTGCAACTGAGATCACTGCTAAATTTACAGCATTATATTCTTTATCTCAGTATCATCGGCAGACAGAAGTTTTTACTCTGTTTTTCAGTGATGTCCTAGAGAAAAAAAATATGATAGAAAATTCCTATTTGTCTGATAATACAAGGGAATCAGCCCATCAAAGTGAGGATGTTTTTCTACCATCCCCCAGAGACTGTTTTCCCTATAACAACTACCCTGATTCAGATGATGACACCGAAGCACCACCTCCTTATAGTCCAATTGGGGATGATGTACAGTTGCTTCCAACACCTAGTGACCGTTCCAGATACAGGTTAGATTTGGAAGGAAATGAATATCCTATTCATAGCACCCCGAACTGTCATGATCATGAACGCAACCATAAAGTGCCTCCACCTATTAAACCTAAACCAGTTGTACCTAAGACAAATGTGAAGAAACTGGATCCAAACCTTTTAAAAACAATTGAAGCTGGTATTGGTAAAAATCCAAGAAAACAGATTTCTCGGGTTCCTTTGGCGCATCCTGAAGATATGGATTCTTCAGATAACTATGCGGAACCCATTGACACCATTTTCAAACAGAAGGGCTACTCTGATGAGATTTATGTTGTCCCAGAAGATAGTCAAAATCGAATTATTAAAATTCGAAACTCATTTGTAAATAACACCCAAGGAGATGAAGAAAATGGGTTTTCAGATAGAACCTCAAAGGGTCATGGGGAACGGAGACCTTCAAAATACAAATATAAATCTAAAACTTTATTTAGCAAAGCCAAGTCATATTATAGAAGAACACATTCAGATGCAAGTGATGATGAGGCTTTCACTACTTCTAAAACAAAAAGAAAAGGAAGACATCGTGGAAGTGAAGAAGATCCACTACTTTCTCCTGTTGAAACTTGGAAAGGTGGAATTGATAATCCTGCTATCACTTCTGACCAGGAGGTAGATGATAAGAAGCTGAAGAAGAAAACCCACAAAGTAAAAGAGGATAAAAAGGTAAGTTCCTTAGATAAGTTTATAATTATGTTTATACTTGTGATCTTAGCTACTCAGGAGGTTGAGATCTGAACATTGCGGTTCAAGATAGTACTGGCTGGACAGGAAAATCCTTGGGATTCTTAATCTCCAAATAACCATCAAAAAGTTGATAGAGCTGTGGTTCAAGAAGTATAGCACTAGCCTTAAATGAGATAGCTCAAGAACAGTGCCCACACTGTGAGTTCAAGCCCCAGAACCAGCAGAAAAAAAAGTATATTTTAAGGATAAAAAAATCGGACAAGATTTGTTACAAAGCTACCTTATTTGGTAAATGTAATCCTTACATGTTGAGTTTTACAAATGTCTTCCGGAGAAAGTTATTTTCATAATTTCTGTGCCTTTTGTTATTTTACTTAGAGCAGGTTTGCCTTCATATACTTAAGCATAAAAAGTTGAAGTGAATGCTTGTTTCTGTAGAAGCTCAGATATGAGATGACTTGTTCTTTTTCCTCTGTAATTCTGTTTTCCATTGTGACCACCAGTTTTGCATTATCAATTTGATATACCGGTTTCATTCAGGGATACAATTAGAATAAAATAGTAACAGTTTTATAGTTGTGGAGATTTACTAATACTCCTAGGAAGGTCTTTTGTGTTTTGAGGCATAAGTTTCTGAAATTTCATTTGTAGAATTCTGGTTTAATTGGTTTCTGTCTTTTATATTTTTAATAGATGTTAAATCATCTGATAGCATTAAGTATTAAAAGTGTAAACATACATTTCTGTTAAACTTGTGTTTAGTACTTTTCATCAGTTAAGTGTATAGTCTTGTAAATTATCAAGACATATTTCCTATAGCTGATTACTGTTAATCAGGCTCAAATAAGATATAAATATTTTGGAAAGCTTAGTCTGCACGTTTTTCCTATGTACAATAACTTAGCATTATAGTTGAATAAAATACATTTTATTTTCAAAGTTTGAGCTGTAGTATTTATTTTATCACTATTCCTTAGTGTAGGTATATAAATACTTTTAAGACTTACCTAGACATACTTGTTCATGATATATACTACTATTAGTAAATATCTCTGGCAACGCTCCCACTCCAAAAACATGAGTGTTTTTTCTTTAGTTTGCATTTATAGATTGAGCATGTTAAATCTGAAAATCCAAACTCTGAAATGCTCCAAAATCTGAACTCTTGAACCCCAACATGATGGATGCCATATGTGGAAAGCACCACATGTGTAAAACTCTATACTTGACCTTACATAGTTAAAATAAAATGCAGGTATGCTAAAAATGTTGCACAGAATTACTGTATGTGTATGAGGCATTTATGAAACATAAATGAATTTAGTGTTTATATTTATGCCTCATCCCTATGTCATACTGTATATGTAAATATACAGTAAAATTTTGTAAAAATGGGAAAAAATTAAAATCTGAAACACTTCAAGCATTTCAGATAAGGAATATTTAATTAAATCTATATTACTAAAACTATCAAATGCTAACAAAAATCGAGAATCTATAGTGTTTCCCTTTTAAATTACATGTATATGTGTTGCCAGTTTTGCTCACAAATCTAATTATTTTGGTGGGTTTTTTTTGCTTTAGGTATAATTTCAATGTAGATAATTTCAAGAATACTAAATGAGCCTGACCCCAGTGACTCACCCCTATAATCTTAGCTACTCAGGAAACTGAGATCTGAAGATGGTAGTAAGCCAGCCTGGGCTCAAGTGGTAATCACCAGCCTGGAGGGAAGAAAGCTAAAAGACTGTGCCTTAGCTCTGAGTTCAAGCCCCAAACACATGTACACAATCACTCCCCTCCCCCCCACATACGTGTGCACGTACATGCACACACACACAAAGCATAATAAAAGAGTTCCTATATATCCACACACACACATACACACACACACACACACACAGCATAGTAAAGGAGTTCCTATATATCCTTAATCCAGATTTATCAGTTGTTCACAGTTTGCCCCCCTGCTTAAGGAGTGTGAGTATGTTTGTTTGAGATTCTGCATTCTCTGCCATTAAAAACTTCATTGAGTATTCCTTAAGCAAAAATGTTTTAGTAACAGTATAGCCATGTTGTCCCAAGATACACAGGTAGTTAGGCACCATATAGTTTTTCAAGTTTTTAATAAAAATGGTTGATCAGATTTCCAGATTTTTCATTTTGCTGTCATTTTTAAAAAATGTGATCTGTTTTCATGAAAGTTTGTTTCTTCAGAATTATTCTTTTAGGATAAATATACAACAGTGTAATTACTAGCTTGAAAGAACTTAAGTATTTCAGAGATTCATTAGTACTACAGTTATTTAGTGTTAACTGCTCAACCCTGATCACTTTGAGGGCAAGGAATGTGCCAGATTTATATTCTGGAATTTTTAGCATGACCTTTAACCCTAGTTAATGTATAGATAGTACTTTTCTTGAATTTAATGTTACTGTTCTTTGAATTGGACTCAGCTTCCTCAGACCTGATTTGTCCCATATAGTGACTTAACTATGTTTTATTGATTCTAAAGTCTTTATTTATTTTTTTTGGGGGGGGGTCCAGTCGTGGGGCCTGAACTCTGGGCCTGGGCACTGTCCATCAGCTCTTCAGCTCAAGGCTAGCACTCTACCACTTGAGCCACAGCACCACTTCCAGCTTTTTTCTTTTTGATTATGTGGTACTAGGAATCAAACCCAGGGCCTCATGCATGCAAGGCAAGTGCTCTACCACTGAGCCACCTTCCCAGCCCCTGCTATCAACTTTTGATACATCCAGATTTCACATCTGAAAAAAATGAAGACTTTAGGGGCTGGCTCAGTGGTAGAGTGCTTGCCTTAAGCTAAAGAGCTGAGGGACAGTGCCCAGGCCCAGAGTTCAGGCCCCATGACCGGACCCAAAAAAAAAAGTTGATAGAATAGTCATAATTGAGATGATGTATAGTTTTTTAAAATTCCTTTTCAGAGGCACATAAAATAACAGTGCTGTGTATAGTCATTGGCTTCTTAGATGAACCAAATAACATAAACGTTGTGTTTAATGTTTGTAACTATTTAATACCTTTGCACTTTATGTCAGTCTTTTCATCATTTACACTAACATGGTAAATGCTTTCTTTTCTTTCCTTTTGTTCTCTTTTTAGTACTATGATTTGAACTCGGGGACTTAATGCTTGTTGGGTTTGCTTCCTTAACTGGTACTCTACCATTTGAGACACACTTCCAGTTAAGTTCTTTGCTGATTATTTTGGAGAGGAAGACTCTTGCCCTTTTCTGTCTGGGCTGGCTTTGAGCTTTAATCTTCCAGGACTCAACTTTCTGAGTAATGAAAATTTAAGATGTGAGCTACCAGCACCCAGCCATAAATTGGCTTTAAATCATACTTTTATTACTTTCAGTTGATTAAAGTCACATTCTCAGCTTTCTTTTTTCTCAATTTTTTAGTTGCTTTGCACAAAAGTGTGTGTGTCTCTATTTATGTATGCATATAATATCTATCTTATAAAAAGAAGCTTCGTATAACATTGCTTTAACAGATTCATGTATTACATTTGTTTTTCCCTTTTTTGATAGTACTGTAGTTTAAACGTGGGACCTTATACTTGCTAGGCAGACAGGCACTCTGCCACTAAGCCAGGCTTCCAATCTTCTTTTTTTTCCACTATTAGTTATGTTGAGAATAGGATCCCCTGGGCTCAGGCCTGAATTATGATTTGCTCGATATATGCTTCCCATCATAGCCAAGATAGCAGGTGCATGCCACCATGTCCAGCTTCTTCCATTGATGAAATCCTCCCAATCTCAGCTTCTATTTGGTAGGATGGCACCATGCCTAGTTACTGACAGAAAAAAGTAGTCTTGTGTGTATGTCCAGGCTGCTCTCAAACCACAACCAGATTTCAGTCTCCCAAGAAGCTTAGAGGTTTGAGCCACAGGCCTTCAGCTTAGGCATTATATTTTGAATTCTAAGAACACTGAATAAATTGCTTTAAGTATATCTATATAGTTAACATCTCTCTATGACATTTTTTATTCATTGTAGAATGCCTAGAGAGCACTGTTATACCACTTAGTTTGCCTAAAAATTGCCCCCTGCCCCGCCGCCCCAACACACACATGGTATTATGGAGCTAACATAGGGCCTTGTGCATGCTTGCCAAATACTCTGCCACTGATCTACATCCCTAGCTCTGTAAAAATTGTTTCCATAGTGTAAACTGGACTTGAGTAATTGAACTTATATTTCAAGAAGCTAAAATGTTAACTTGGTAGACTGACCCTGTGCTTGGTCAAGATTAAGAAAATATTTTTAGAACAATTGAAAGATGTGTGATTAAGATTATAACATGGCGAAGAGGCCCATTGTCTTAAAACCAGTCTTCTGGGGTTTGAATTCAGGTTCATCCACTTAACTGCCTATATTACTATATAATTTCTCGGTACCTCCATCTAGGAAAGTGGAAGTAATCTTAAGGCTACTCTGAGAAGTAAATTAATATTTGTTTAGAACAATGCTTTGAATATGGTAAATTTGTTGAACAAAAAATAATTCTTTTATAATAGTCTGTGGCTATACATGTGTGTTTAAGGAACATTAAGGATAGAGAAAGTATGATTCTAGTTTTATAGAACATTATGAAAAAGAAAAGCATTTTTATTTTTTAAGGATATTTTACGTGGTGAAAGTCAGTTGTATAGCGGCATAAAACTGACAAGTAATATGATAAGGAAGCTCCCCTAGTCATGAATAACTGAAATAGCATTACATTTATGAGGGTCTTTTCTAAACTGAAGAACTATTTAGAACTAAAATTGGTTGGTTACGCAGAGTTTGTGCCAAAAGGAATGCTGTTCTAGAATTCAAATTGCAATGAAGGAAGAGATTAGTGTTACGTAATCTAGTTTCAAGATAGATATAAACATTAGTTAGAAAGTGATAGATTCAGAGGCTACATGAGCAAGCAAAAAAGCTTAAGTTGACTCTTTGAAAAGCTTAG